AAAGTTGCCAAACGATCAGATGGTTCACCTGATGTTAAGTGAATACCGCCGCCTATGGACATCTGCTACATGGTACTTATCCGGATGAGCCTGCCCATTTGTGCAACAGCCGAGGCTGCTGCGTGGCCCTACCACCGTAAAAAGATATATGGATATAAGACTATAACTTTAAAAACCTTTACTTTTGAAAATATTCGACAAAGATGACCACCCGAATGGCGTAGTGAGTAGGGTACCTGTCTTTTGCGCCAGAGGGTGTGAGTTCGATCCCCACTACTGGAAAATATTGTGTGATAAACGTTTTGTTTTTCTAGTGTCTGGGTGTTTATGTATGTATAATATGTATTTATAATATGTATTTATTTAAAAAAAAAAGGGTGTTTAAGTAAGTTTATCAGTCATCTAGTACCCATAGTACAAGTGTTGCTTGTTTAGGACTAAAGAACGTTGTGTAAAAATGTGTCCTAAAAAATTCTAAAATAGGCGTAAATTCTATTAATAGAGAAACTGCTAGATATACATTGCAAAATATGTAATAAAACTTTATCTTTGCAAATATTATTTCTCTCGTAATATTAGTTATCTCGTGCATCCATTTATTAATAGAGAAATTGCAAAATATGCCGAGCTTAGATAATTAAGATTTTGGCCAGCGATATGACTCATCTCCAAAAGGAGTTTAATTAGCAAGCGAATATCTTGAAAATCTTAAGAGGTAACGGTATACTCTGACTAATATGAGTATTGGGTAAGCCGTGGCGTGCCTAACTTTGTCTTTTCTGGCTTTTCGCCCGTGGCAACGCCCGCGTTGAAGTCCTTAATCAAATATTCTTTTTAACCGACTTCAAAAAAGGAGGACGTTTCTCAATTCGACCGTATATATTTTTATTTTTTTTATGTGTGTTCGGGGATAACTTCGTCATTTATAAACCGATTTTGATGATTCTTTTTTTGTTGGAAAGGAGATATCCCAAGTGTGGTACCATGATAAGGAAACCCAGATCTGATGATGGCATCCCAGAGAAATCGAGGGCAGTACTCAAATGTTATAGATGTTGACAAGGTTTTTATGTTCTTGTTTGAAGTCGGTTTTTTTTTGTTCAAAATTATTAAATTTATTTTTAATAAAAAGAATCTTATCTTTGTAATCCGCCCTTTTTAATACCTCTAAGAATATATGTACAAAGTTTCATGAAAGCGTAACAAACAAACTTACATTCACATTTATAATATTAGTAGGGATTAGGGATTTAAATTGTAAACACAACAAAACACTTTTAAAGTATAAAGTGTTTTGTTTTAAAATATAGTAGTTGATGTATAGTATACAAATTAAATTACGCATTATTTTAGCTTCAACCTTTAAAAGTTGGGCATTTAAACATTGTGTTCTTTTTCTGCACTTAAATGTGTTTAAATATCTAGGTACGATTTAGATCTTCGTTGCACTTCACATCAGGTTTTTTAATGTGAGAATGTGGCAAGCCAGCTGGCAGTTCACGTGTCACGATGTTGAGTGATTACCACCGCCCATTCATATTTGCAACACCCTTAGGGTCTCAAATGGGCTAATAAACTGCAATCCGGTTTCCTCATGCACCAGACGAAACGCACCAGTATAACTCTAACGCCCGGTTTCTGAAACACTGATCATCGTAGGTGTCACCTAATCTGCTGTCAAATGGCTTTTCAAATTAATTTTAGTTGCCACAAGGATGGTTAAACTCTCCAATTGACTCGGATAGACCAGAATGATCTTCTTAATGATCAGAATTATCAATTCAATGACATGTGAAAAGCCTTTTGACAGCTGATTATTTCTCATCTAAGACGATCAGTGCTTCAGAAACCGGGCCATTAGACCACACGCAGGTCTCCTGATAGTTCGTGGTACCAACTTAAGGTAACGTGAGCCACCACCTCAATAGCCGTCTTCTCGCACAAAATTGACAACTATCCACCTCATCAGCCGTCAGCCGTCTCGTGGTCTATCCCACAATCTATAACACCGATCGCAGTGATTGTGCCATAACAATGACCCCACCGTTTCCTCGTCACGCCCCGAACGCCGACAGTTTGAATTAACCGTACCCACGCGCGCTGTACCGTGAACGCAGTTAATTGAAGCAGTTGAATCTTGTTCACCAATCGGGTACCATATGCGGTATAAAAAATTATTTATTTAAGTAGACACAAACGTAAGTTACAAAACATGAAGATTAACTGTGGTAGGGCCACGCAGCAACCTCGGCTGTTGCACGAATGGGCACGCTCGTCCGGGTAAGTACCGGCGTAAAGTGGAAGTATAATACTTTGGCGTTTCGTCTGGTGAGTGGGGTGGCCAGAGCCCAATTTTCAAAAGGTTGTCAACGCATATGCAACCATCGGGTGTGGCAGATCTCCATGGGCGGAGGTATTCACTTAACATCAGGTGAACCGTCTGCTCGCTTTGCAACTTTTCACATAAAAAATTTGTTAAAAAATAGTAATGAAGATTGAATTTATTTTTTAATATATTTTTAATTAATAGAAAATATAATTATGACTACATTAACAACGGATCCCAAACTAAGCTGTGCTTGTATCTTAGGTGCCAGAGATGCCAGATTTGCGATAGGTATATAGTTACATCGTGAATACTCATTGCTATTAACAAAACTAAAGGTACTAATTAGATTACTATTCGTAAAGCTCAAATCCGCAAATACAGAAATTAGATTGTAAATTCAACACATCTCCTAAAGAACACGCACTACTCCGCGATGATTCTCGAGGCTTAGGCGATTTTAGACGACAAGAGATAGTTATCCATTGCATATTAATGTATTTTTGTTACGCTAATAGTAACCTTCATTAAAATTTGAATCGATAAGATTGTTCGGGGTTTGCCTTCTTAATATTTTTAAAAATTAATCCAAGCACGGCAATACATCAAGATAGTATAAGCTCCTTTTACGTATACCGAGTAAAATAAACAATTAAGCTGATGATAGTCCAAATTATATTATTGTCCTTTTTCCAATACTATTAGATAGCTTTGACTATTCCCAGCCAACTGGACACTGTAAAGGGAGCAAGGACCCGATAATACGAGTAATGATTTCGCTAGCAGCCAGGGGACTTTTTTTTCTTTATTAGGTCTACAAAACAGAGTACAACCTTTAAGAGCAAGAGTCATTTCCACACATCTTTGTCAATTTATTTGTCAATGTATTCTTCGACATTATAATAGACCTTTACAATAATCAGGCTACGATACATATACATTTTTCCATGCAGTGTACACGACAACTACTATTTGTTTTTTTTAAAACGTATGAAAAAAAAAAACACAGATAACGTAAACAAAACCAAACGCTACCACAAAAAAAAGCTTTGCTATTTTCTACACAAACCAGCCAGCTGTCGATGTGACGAACGAAAGTTTTAGCGTCTATTTCGCGCCAGTGTGTCGATGCATTAAAAAAATATACCGCCACTGCCATGTACGCCACTGCTACATGTAAGTACGTACAAGGCAATCTGACCCTTATTTCATAACAATAACGCATTATTATAATTATTGTTGCCATACGCGAGTGTCGCATTCTATGCTAATCGGTTACAAGGCGACGACGGAGGTGTGACAGCGTAAGAAGTTAGACGGCTAGATAATGGGAAATATTTATAACTGTCACTTGTAAAATAACTGTGTAAAATAGTGGACCGTACCTACCCTACCATTCTATACTGATTCACAGGAGACTTATTTAAATATACGGCGAATAATATAGTTTAGAATCTTCTGTGGTTTTCAGCAGCTAACAAAATAAGGTGATAACACTGCTCAGGAACAGACTTCGTGTAATTAAAAGGTCCCTAATAAAGTGAGTGAGGTACACGGGGAAAATAGGCTTTGACCATAGACTAGATTAGGGTTAGATAGTAACACGGTGTCTTGGGGCGTAGCATAGTGATGATACTGGGAACATGTTTAGGCAGCGAAGACAGAGGAGCACTGGTGCATGCCTCCAGAGAATTTTATATATGACAGCGATTCCACTTAACTGTCTTCCTGCGGGAGATATGGTAACTTCTGTAACATTCTCTTTGCCGAGCCAAGAAGCGATTGCGTGGGTAATAGTGGAACCCACCTTCGAACGTAGGAATTCATTTCCGCCTTTCTATAATTGGCATTAAAGTTTGGTTACACGGGAGCTAGGAGATACTCAACGTCAATAATCAGAGTAAGGTCGAGGACTTCTTAAGCGGATTACGATCGGTCCGCCGGATAAGTTCCTGCCTTGCTGTGTTTGTGTGCATTTACGTGCTTCTTAGGAACACGGCGAACATTTATAGGCTTACGCCCGGTTTCTGAATTACGGATCATCGTAGATGTTAAGTGATCAACTGTCAAATGGCTTTTTAAATGTCATATGAGTTGCCAAAAGGCTGGTGAAACTCTTTGAATTGATCATACTGATCATTAAGAAGATCATTCTGGTCAATTCAAAGAATTAAACCATCCTTTTGGCAACTCTAATGAAATTCGAAAAGCCATTTCACAGCTGATTAGTTAACATCCACTATGATCAGTGTTTCAAAAACCGGGTATTGTTAGACAATTATTTGTGTGTTACACAGATGCTCGCCTGTGTGAGCCTCGACGCCGAAGCAAATAGCTTAGCACCTGCGCCATCCTTAGTTCCTTATTAATTCTTACTTAATATTATAAAGGCCAAATTTTGTATGTAGAGTAGCAACAAACATCCATCCAGGATGTTTGTTACTCTTTCACGCAAATACTACAGAATGGATTTTAATGACACTTTACATATTATTGTTACTTATATATGAGCTTATTCATGAGAATAACACATAGGTTATAATTTATATACATGTTTTATGTATATCCGTGTTTGTTTGAATGTTACGCCTTCAGCCTATTCTACGCGGACGTGGCCGCGGGCAGCAGCTAGTCTAGTCATAAATCTAAACTACATATAACCTAATCCACTTGCCTTTCCTCTGTATGATGACCCTGAGCAGGGGCCGAGCGGTGAGCAACGCCCTCGCTAGGTTGTCGTCATTGCTTGATGGGCAGCAGGTCCCCGTCGCGAGGGTCCGTGTACGAGATGAGGAAGGCGACGTCGTGCAGCCGGTGCAGCTTCTCTATGAGCGCCTTGAAGTCCTCGTACTTCATCTTCTCCGTGCGGCTGAGCGAGAAGCGGCGGAACTCCGCGTCGAACTGCCGAGTTGGGGCCACCGTTAGACTTGAGATACAGTAGACGGATACAGCTTAAAATGACGAATACAATAGTCACACTAATATCATTAAGAGGTGCTTAGTAACTACTAACTAAAACAAATTAACCAATTTTTCGAAAATGTTCTTTTCGATTCCAGAATTCGAGCCCGCGTCTTATGGCGTGCGCAGATACAAACTGAGCTTAGCGGCCGATATCGTCATGGTGCGGAAATATCGACTTAAAAACTGCTTACCTTTTCTTTTGCATTTTTAGCAATTTTTTTTTTATGTGAGAAGGTGGGCAAGTGAGAAGATTGATTTGTGGTTAAGACAATCAAGCAAAGGCATATATATTTTGGTGCGGTTTGGCATATATATTTTGCAAGCCCACGTTGGCCAGTTAGCTATAGTCATATTTTGCACCTTATTAAAATTCGTTCATATTACATGAAATAGTCAAAACCGTTCATGCTATGAAACATTACATAAATGTCACTATCATCTCCGAAGGCGAGTACAATAAACCTTAATAGCTATAAGGCTAACGCCTCAATAACTCACCACAAAAACCGCAAGCGACGCCAACGGGTTACGCACAATAAGACATACTACAACTACAATAACACGTACTAGACTTAATAGAACAAGTACAATCCAAGGACAGAAGGGATCAAACGCAGAAAAGAATCGCCCTGCCATTAAGAAGGTGGTGAAGTTTTCGAAACGTCGCAAATTTAAGCTTAAAATGAACGCGATAAATCTGGAAAAATAATTTTATTTAATAATTTATAAGAAAAATATCTATAAGAAAATCTTATATAGGTACATAAGTTGATTCGTATAGTAAAGTAAATAAGAAGGAAGTTCACGATAAGTAAATATGGTGGACTGTTAGGGAGAATACTGAAGAGTGATGGACTGTAAAATTATAACCTATCATAAAAAAACGTAGAATATTGTCAGTACTCTGAGCCGACGCCATATTTGAGTGGGGTTAGTTCGATTTTCATTCAATATCGATTAAATTACAATTCAAAATGTCTTTATTCAAATGGAAGTTTGCGCGATCTTCTGAATTTTACATAAAAATCTATACATAAGTTCGAAAGTAAGTTACCATCGGTTCGGAGAGCACTTTCTGTTAAGAGACCGGCAAGAAATTCAAGAAATTTAAACAATCAAAACCTCTCCTTCAAATATTGTTCAAATATTCATTGTAAAATGTTATACGAGTGTGTGCATACTACAATGAAGTTGTTCACTAGAGGGCGCCGAGTATTACTGTGGTTGGGCCACGCAATATTCTTCTCTGGTGCACGAATGGGCAGGTCCGGTGCTATACTTCTGCGTTTAGTCTGGCGAGTCAGGTAGCCGGGGCCCACTTCGTTAAAGGTTGGCAACGCATCTGCCAACCTACGGGTCTTGCAAATCCATCATGCGGCCCTACTGCAGATTGGCGGACTTTACATAACATACGAAATATTTGTTTTTCGTAGTTATTTCGAAAGTATGCAGGTTTCCTTACGATGTCTTCCAACACCGCTGGGCGCGTGATAAGTCAGCACTTAAAATTGACAATTTCATTGGTGTCGGCCCCGGGACTTCAACTCAGGTTGCTCGATTATATTGAATTAAAAGAGAGAGCGCGGGCACTGAGCTATCATGGCTAAGCTACATGAATGTTATAAAAATGAATACAGAAAATGTTCACAGATACACAGCGTGTCTTTACAATCGCGACAATGAACACACATAATTATAGAGTATAAATTTTCAAAATTGTATTAAACATTTACATTCTTTAAACATCAATATTTACAGAGTTATCAAATTATCCAAAACAAAGAATTTTAGAACAACCTTACGTATAAAACTTTAATGTAAAGTTCATTTGTAAAGGTCACAAAGCATATGAATGGGTTGAATGAATTTAAAAGAGACAAAACATACTGTTAGAAGGAGAGGCTTGTAATGCCACGCTGTGGCGAGAGTTGTATAGGATGTTACAAATTTTGTTTCTTTTTTACTCAAGTTTGTTTAAAAAACATATTTTTTAAATTATAGATTTTGTTTAACGTTAATATTTTTTATGATTATTGGCAAGTGAATTTTCGTTTGAATTTTCTTTTATAGTAATCGGATCTTAGACCAGTAAGACTTCTTACTGGTGTAAATAAGTACATAGATAGATAGTTTCCTTTATAGTGACCGGATCGGATGGAATTCATCACTAGTGGGTTGGCTATGTGCCTATAATTTCCTCAAAATAAACCTTGTCTCTCAATAACAAAGACAATGAAATAAATTCAGGCGAATGGCAATAGATTTAAATTTGATTGTCGTAACGAATTTTGAAATGTAACTGTTTACGAGCACGCCCTAGAAACTTTTGCGTATCCGAAATTAATCTTATCGGTGTTAGCTTAGAAGATAAAACGCTGGGGCACACCTGAAAGTTTTCAACGCGTTTTAAACCATAAATATAAAAAAAAAAATTTTGAATGTTGTAGGGCCACGAAACAGTCTTCGCTGTTCCCCTGGGCGGGCGGACGAACGGACGGATTGATATTTATATTATTTATAATAATACACGAAGGAAGACGCGGACAAGCACAAAGCACAAAGATTCTCGAGAAATGACGCTTACAGACGCGAACAATTGACGTAGACAGATTTAGAGGAACTGTAAAATTCATAATATAATTAGGTATTTCTACAATGTTCACAATCACATGTGCGAATGATAAAACATCGCAAACATCGAGTCTCAGATACACGCTTTGCAAGTGGAGTTTATATTTGAAAAAAAAAAATCATTTGAAATGTTAATTTAAATCCATGAATTCGTAAGTTCGTAAGCTACCACACCTGTTTTTTTTATGGATATATCAAAATGTATACATTCTTTTAAAGTTATACTTCTTTTAGGAAAAAATACTGAGAGTAAAAATTTTCACCAACTTCACGGGTATTACCATGGCAACCAATAACTTTTTGGCTTTTACCTATAACTTCAGGTTATTTAATTACAACATTATGAATTGCATTTAATGTATGTTTTACACAAACAAAGGGTTCTAGCACATGGGATATAATTGTTTCTTTAGTGTAACAAAAGAAATTTAGTTACATTTCTTTTGTTACACTAAAGAAAGGTAACTACTTAATTTCGTAAATAAGTACACAGAATTTTTTATACATTCTTTGTAACAAACAGGTCAGTGTTTGACAGCTGTTCCACTTGGTAATAAGTGGTAATAGGTTGGTAACACTGGCCTGAAATATACACATTGACATAATATGTAATAATTGTATGGATATAATTAATTTGAATTTAGATTTAATCTTCCTTAGAAATTTAAATTGTTTATAGTGCTAATCTTTGCACTTAAGATTGAACATTAAAATATGTAGAAAAAGTGCGAAAAGATTGTCGCCGTTGTGGGAATCGAACCCACGTCTTCGGCATTCGCGGCCTGACGCTCTAGCCACTGAGCTAAACGGCTGATTGCCACACCTACGAAAATCTTAATGCATTCTTCTACATTGTTTTCTTAGCATTTGAAGCAATGCTTGGTGCCAACTATTGTTATATCCTTTCCAGCATACAAACAATTTCGAATATCGTTTTACAACGATAATTCGAACGAGAGATGTCGCCATTGCTTTTTTAGACATATTTTTTTCTACATATTTTAATGTTCAATCTCAAGTGCAAAGATTAGCACTATAAACAATTTAAATTTCTAAAAAAGCACTTTTTCTACATATTTTAATGTTTAATCTTCCTTACTAAATTCTCTTTTTTATATGACTGTTGCTAACTTTGTTAATTTTATTCTTTCCTGATGAGCTAGAGACTTGAAAAATAATTTAGCCGACTTCTTGAAGTCTGTTTTTAGTTCGTTGAAGATGGCCTGTAGTTTATTCTAAACATTTCATATACTTTCTATGAGATTACAGAAATGCTACAAAATTTTGTCACTTGTTATAAAACTTACGACAACCTAGATAACATTTAGGTTCTATTTTACAAAAATATTTTTTTTCTCAACTAAATTATAATGCATGACAATATGGTGTCCTTTGCAGATTCAATTAATGTATAAAAGATAACATAATTGAGAGCAATGACATCTGGTTACAAGTAAAATAAAAACAAAAATTAGTATTTGTTTTAGTTGGTTTTAAAGTTTAATGAAAAAATTAGAAATGTTAAATTTAGAGAATTAATACTTTTACAGTCATCGAACCATTCATTTCCTGTTTGCAAATTTGATATTCAAATTTTCAAAGAAGTTAATGGAACATAAACTAAATGTAAATTTAAATTTTTGTCCTAACCTACTATTACCTACGTTTTTTTACCTTTCATCCTAACCTAAGAAGAAAAACTGATGATGTTCATTCACTTTTTCCTCTCAAAAGTAGGTTAGAGGAAAAATTTTTATAACAGAATAACAAGAGTAAACATCTAAATTTTCATTTTCAATATTAGCTACATAGAATAGCTTTTAAGTAGATAAAAACTAGTAACAAGTAAACTTTAGATAGGAAACCTACTGAAATAAAGATCTTGTTTTTATATATTGCGGAAAGTTTAGTATGTCTATTGCTACTTTCCTTTACATCTCCTGCAAATTCCCATCTTATCTCAATAATGCATAATTATAAAATTTTATCATTCAATCGCTGTGGGCACTTACAAAAATAATTATAGATTTTGTTTATCACATTTTAGGTTTACAAATTTTCCAAATTATAATTGTAATTTTAAAGACATGGTTAAAAGTTCTACTGCTAGTTATACTAACTTGAATAAAAACAAAAGTATTATGGCAAATCAGGCTATTGTTCGAGCTAAGGACAATGACCTCACATTGCATTTTTAAGGGTAGAGAAAAACGACAGCTAATCTATGGCCCTGAAAGTACAATATTGTCAAGAATCATTCCGGAGAAGTTTTGGCCTGTCATATAGTGTAGTTTATACTTGAAACTTAGAGTCCTTTGAACTTTTGATGATAAATTTAATTAACATTATATAAATATTTTTATGTACCAGATAGGTCCAAGAAGTTATGGACAGATTGTGAAGCTAATTTGATGCTCAGTTGATCACTTGTGTATGGTGGTATTAATTATAATTATAATAGTGTTCATGGGCAACTGGTGGATTCAAATGGCAGTGTTGTTTGTTGCAGCATTCTAAGAGCTCATCTTTGTTTATCAGAGGACATCTTCAGGAGGATGAGTATGATAAATGCTAACACTGAAAACTCCATAAAATAATGTTTCTTGCTATTAATAATGGTTACATGTTTCAATAGGAGTAATGGATTCTGACTATAATAGATTATTTTTTTTTATTTAATAAAATCCAACAGGTGCTCATCTTGACACGGAAAACTTGCGTTTTTCATTTTACTAGATTTATACTTATTACTTAGCTACTATTAAACAAAAACGCTATAGAAATGTATGTTAAAAACATACAAGTTTAATTAAAAGTTTTAAATCAGTTGAAAATATGTATTCTATGAATGGCAATATATTTTTGATAACAACTAATATAACTTATTAAAAATATTGTAAAAATTAAGGAGACTTGTTTAACCCCTAGTGGAAGTTATTCCCAACTTAAGTTCGAAAATTAGAAATTTGCTTAAACATACCTTGGTTTTAACTTCTACACTTAGGCTGTCGATCCGAGCTGCAATTTTGTTCTTCGACATCTCGAAAGCATTTAATACACTTACACTAAATCCAAAAAACTATTTATAAAACATTCAGGCACTTGATTCAGGATTAAACATTGTAAATTATAAAAAGTTTTAAAATAATTATGCTGTTCCATACACTTCTGACTCTCGCGTCGTAATTTTATTAGATACTGTTTCGTTTACATATTTCTTATAGAATTAGTAATAATAAGCCAATAACAAAGAAGTATTCTGACAAACCTACTTTTCTATTGGTGATTGTAGCGACACGATGAAAACGATACTGAAACGTTCCGTCAAACGCTTTCAAAAAAACTTACAAGCCTATTATTTAAACGGTAGAAATGTTTACAGTTAAAGATTAATATATTTTTTTTATTTAAAAAAATGCTGAAACTTATAATATTTATAATTTGTTACTTGAAGTAGCATCACCAATTTTTATTGATTTATGGTTATAAAATGTACCTAATAACATTTTTTGCTCCACAAAATCTTAATGCTTTTTCTTGCCAAAAATAAGCTGCGACAATATAGACACGACACTCGACAGAAACAGCAACGTCACAATGACATTGATGGTAAATTGTTGTTAACCTAAAAGAAAAACACAAAATAAAAGGAAACAAAAAACTAAACAAAGATGAAAAGTTCAAATAACTCCAATGTAGCAGCTCGTATGAATCCATGTTTAAAGGTTTGTTAAGTAGTAGTTGTTAATAAAGTCATGATTTAAATTTCTATGATATATCTCATAACTTTAATTATATAATTGTTTTCTTTTAAGGAACAAAATCAATCTTATGAATGCCTTAATAAAAATGGATACGATCACGATAAATGTGAAAGCTATTTCGATAATTATAACACATGCAAAAAGTTTTGGGTAAGTGTAGTGAACTGATTATTCTGTTTTTAATTTTAACGAAACTAATTTTATCCCTTAGAATAGGTAGGTGAGGTAAAGAAAGACAATTAATATGACTTACTGCACAAGTCACAATTCACTAAGCTTGTAAAATATAAAATTGTCTATTAGAACTCACATTTACTTTATTAAAATGGTAATATGTCAATACCACTAACTACATCTTTGCCTAGTGTAAACAAAGACTGTTCTTTATCTACAAAAATTTTCAATTTAAAAGTTTCATTTTGAGTGCAGAGACTAAAATCTGACATCTCTTGTAACAAATATTCATTGCTGATTGTATGCTGTAAAGGATGCAAACTAGTTGGTGCCCTTGGTAAAAATGCAATAGAACAGAAGTAGGTAATATTAGGATTTTCGCGGTTTTTAGGTCATGCTTAGTTAGTAAAGCATCTGGTCGAGAAACCAGAAGACACAGGTTCAAATCGCACAGTGTGAAAGTTCTTGTTCATTTATCTACAAAAATTTATGTTTAAAAGGCAGCCAAGTTAATTCTAATGGCAGTCCTCTAATCAATTAGCATTTGTTATTATCCTTATACAAAAAGATCAATGTTGTAATAGATAAGTCATGATGAAGAAATGTCCTTATACGAAAGTTTAGGAATTCTGTTGCAAATATTTACCATGTTGTTATTTTACATTTTTTCTTCTTCCAGGGTCAAGTATATCGAGATCGAAAGTCAAAAGGCATTCACCCATATATGCCCGAGGTAGAAGATAGGGAAAAAATCAAAGCTGAATATATTAAAACTGCATGGAATTAAGTAATAAAAGAACTTTGAATATATGATAGTGATGACAATTAAAATGAGACCTGCATTTAATCAGAAGATAAATGTTGCATTTTGTTACATCTGGTTATAAATAAGATTGAGTAGTTGTAAATAATATTTGTTATCTTTAATGTTTTTGTTTTATGCCCACTTCCTAGTTTCCAGTCATCCTTTTAACTAATTTTAAGTGATTAGAATTTTAATATGTTAGGGCCAAGCAAGTGCTTACTGCACTGTTTCTAGATCATATTGACCATAACGAAAGCTCCCCAGTGCCCCTTTCTTCCTTTGTCATCATAGAGCCTGTTTACACATAAATGTGGTAGGGCCACACAACAGTTTGTTGTTGCACGAATGGGGATGTTTGTCCAGGTAATTACCACAATCTCAGAATACCGGCGTAAAGTCAAGTACACTTCTGGGTTCCATCTGGTGAGAATGGTAACCGGGGGTATTTATACAAATCATAAAAGAAGCATAAAAAGGTGAAGTGTAGCCATAGGGCAGATTATTGCCCTTTTGTTTACTCTGGTCCAAATTGCTTATCAATTCGCCATCACGCTCTCGCTGCCCTCTACACAATGGAGGAAATTTGTAAGTCTTTATTTTATATAAAATATATTAAACTTCTTATGTTTATTGTTCCACAATTTTATATTTTCATAGTCAGAATCTTTGCATAAATATGACACAGGGTGGTAGAAATGATCAAAACATAGATTAAATACCTTTTTTTTAAATTTGTGTTACATTAACATGATGTAATGCCAAAACGTGTTCAGCATATTAATACTAGTGGGCTACAAAATTCTTATAATTATGAAGGCAAATCGGGAAGTATTTGTTTTAGTGGTTCATAAGCTATATATCAATTTTTCTACATATTTTATTTTAATATATATCAATTACTTAATATTGTGTAGAAAAAAACAAATGTATAACAATATGAAACACGATTTGCAATAACACAAAATATACTTATTTAATATATTGTGATTGTTGAGATTTATATGAAAGATATAATTTATAATAAATAAGACTATTTATGAAATAAATAATTATTATTTGCTAAGTAAATGATAAAATTAAAAAGAACCTACAAGGCTTGTAGGTTCTTTTTGATTTTATCACTTTTAATTTATTTTATCATTTCCTTAGCATTTTCCATCTAAAATTTGATTAATGATTTATATGGAAAATGCTTAGAAGTAGCATAATATTTTCGAAGCTCTTACACTAAATTTTCAAGATAGCAAGTAAAAATATAATTGACTGTGATGTTATTTGTGTCAGAAGGCAGTTATAATATTCAAATTATAAAATATCTTATAACTTACTTAGATTAATGAATAGAATTGTTATCATACACATTAATATTCATAAAACAACAATTCACACAATTACAAATAACACGGAAAAGAATAAAATCAATTAAAATATTAGTTTAGCCTATTTTTAAAGTAATTTATATATTGCAAAAACTATATAAATAATGTTGTGACTGGAATCAATGATGTTTTTAATAAATATGACGCATGTCCATACTGCGCGGCGTTTAAAAATTGTTCCGCTTTACATTAAATTACATATACAGGGTGGCTTTTCTAAAGGTGCCCAAATTCACACAGGAGGTTCAGACTCGGTAGTATAATCGTTTATTGAAATAAAAGCAAACTTTTTTTTGAAAAACATTGCCATTCTATTCAATTAAAAACAGAACTTTTTGACAATGCGGTAGTCATTCATAAATGCGTCGTATACTCTTGAAACGAACTTGTGTGCGTGTTAGTTATGAATGATCGCGTGTAAAATAAATGAGTTGCCCATAAATCACGCACTTTTTGAGATAAGTTAAAATGAATGTAATTAATTAATTAAGAGTGCTTTTAAATATTTATCATTTTTTATATAACATTATTTACGTCTAGAACTTAATTAAAAAAATGGATACACTTCGAAAAGCCTCCCTGTATAAGTGAATGCGACATATGATACGGAAAGTCATGGCAGTCTATAAAATTGCAATTTAATTACACCAATTGACGTAATTTGAGTGACTCACGCCCGGTTTCTGAAACACTGATCATCGTAGATGTCAACTAATCAGCTGTCAAATGGCTTTTCAAATTTAATTTTACTTGCCAAAAGGATGGTTAAACTCTTTGAATTGATATCTACGATTATCAGTGTTTCAGAAACCGGGCATTAGTGTCGGTGCGCTAGTGTCATACATATCTACATCGTTTTTGTATATAACATCATTGACTGGAATATGAAAATGCGTCAAGCCAGGGCAAATTCAAATGAAGAACTTCCATTTCAATTTACCTTGGAATTCAAGTGAAATAATAATATTTAAATATGTAAAACTTACGAATGTAACGTCAATATATACGAATACTTAACTAACACAATATGTCTGGGGCTCACGCTGTGATGTAATAATTTTAATGCTTATGTTTAAATTAATAATAGTATTTAAAATGAGAAAATACTTCGAATCCTTGCTGTCATAAGTTAACAATGTCATGCTATTGTGTTATATAAAATTACATAATACTTGTGTTAACACAACCATTAACTTAGCGTGAACCACCATTACTTAAAATTTAATTACACTTAAAAGCAAAAAAATCGACGGGAGACAATGCGTGCTTAAAAGACAAAAAGAATCATGTACCCATGAATTGATCGGAAATTTACATTTAGATTTTTGGTCAAGTTTGGTGGTGAAGTTATACAATTACAAACTGAAAACTATTAAAATTAACAACTAAATTATTGTTGTTGTGATCATATGTAGTATAACATAACATCAAAACACAACTATAAAATGTACAGGCGCTTTAATAGATAAAGTTTAAATAATCAAATGGTGTCATGGGACACCAGGTAGGAACGAAGTTCCTTCGGCTAATGTAGAATCGACACAAATTGCAAAAAAAATCGTGCTCAATTTTATGTACCTTTTGTTGACTTTTCTCTTAAATTTTGCTGATGAGTTTTTATTTAAGTACAAGAAAGTATTTAGGAAATTCAGTATTTTAGAAAATAATAAATTACTTAAAATAAAAAAACATCGTAATTCAAATTATCAACTAAAATAACAAAATTATACACTACTCGCTTGTGTATGCGACTGTCGCGCATGCGCACGTCATTTAACGGTTTTATTCCACGCACTTTTTTCCCACGGATTTTTTCTTACGGTTTTACTATCACATTTTTTTCAGTTGGGTCGCGCAGCGAAATCCCTATCCTGTAGGGGATAGGGATTTTGCCTAGCCTGCCGTAAGGAACTTCGTTCCAAAAATTTAAAAAAGATTATAATGTCAGCCATGTTTAATTAAATATACAATTGAATAAAAATTTAAAAGAAACTGCTATAGCTATAAAATAGTGTTAAAACTATCATAGTTTTTTTTTTTGCAAATGGCAAATTCAATCTTAAAGTTCTGTTCTTAGATACTGGCAACAATGGTATAACAATTTATAAATTTACCTAGCTACATATTTTTATTGACATCAATATTTTATTACTATCACAAAAAGAGCAAGAATGAACTTAAAGCAGATTAAAAAAATATATTAATATGTACTTAATAGCGCGTACATGTTATACGTGTTGACACCGTGACCAAAAAAATATGCAATTGGGTAATCCAATAATAGTTTTAATATTCACAAGTAAACTTTGTGCTCAGATGATTTACTAGTTGATATTTCAAAAATGGAGTTATAAAAGATAAAAATAATTTTCTCACAAGTGCCTGGTGATATGATTACCACTTGTCACCTATAGTGAAATTACGATTATCAACAATTTTTTTTTTCAAAATAGTAACAATTCACAATCGATATCGCATGCCATAACAGTTTGCATTTTATAAATTGAAAGATGAAAGGTTTTTATTTTTGTTTTTTTAGATAAATATCAAAGTATTTAACTATTGTTTTACGAAATAAATTCTACTTCCACTCTATCCTTTTCCAATCAAATCATAGACATTTTACATGCTTTTTTTTGTCACGGTGGGTTACAAATGTTACGTTATATTTTATTTTAGCACGCATTGTCGGCCAAGAGTCAATCTGTACGTTGTTTTATGTGGAAGCAGCTTATTCGGAAGTGATCGCACATTTGACGCACCTGTGGAAGCAAAACAAGTTATTTATTTTTTTATGATTTTCTTAACTTTTTTTTTTGTATATTTCGTTAACTATAGAATCTCACGCATTATTGTTGTACAGTAAAATTTAAATGCAAAAGAGGCAAAAAAATTAATTTGACCCAACAGAGTAGTGTGCAGCGGGTTTTTCACCTCGTGAAATGTTTTGCTAGCCATATTTTCAACTGCCAATAAAAGCCTGTGATGACTCAGCGGCGCATTGCCAAGATTTTGGCTTCAGCGTCGTGCGTTCGATCCCCGCACGGGACAACTGTGTGTGTCATTCACAGTTAACTGTTTCAAATCTAGGTGTTTGTTCACGTGAAAAACATGTATGTAAATCGTCTTTACAACTCAGGGCAATGTTAACCTACAGCATTGTATTTGTATTTTGTGTGGAAGGTATTGCGTGGTAACTCCAAACGACCAATGCGACGATCTATTGTAGTCTGTCCTTCGAAAACATTGCCCCCTTACTGAAGGATAACATTATATCCTACAGTAAGGGTAGTATTTTAAAAAAGAAAAAAAAAGGACTGAGAACGAACCGTTTATTTATTACCTCTTAAAAAAGAAAAAAAAAAGGACTGAGAACGAACCGTTTATTTATTACCTCTTAAAAAAAGGCTACTAAATACGCAGGCGCCTTAGTGCACATGGGCGGCTACACTGAGCGCCGTGAGCGCGTAGAAGGCGGGCATCTCGTAGCGCCCACTTTTTAAAAAATGAAACGCTACTTACTACGCAGGCGCCGTAGTGTACATGGGCGGCTACACTGAGCGCCGTGAGCGCGTAGAAGGCGGGCATCTCGTAGCGCGGCGCCGTCGTAGAGAGCAGGGCGGCCCCACAGAGCGGCCACACCAGCCAGTTGATCAGCTCGCAGCGCTGTCCACTCATCTGGCTGACGATCAGGCGACACTGGAAGGAGAGGATTTATATTGCCCGGCTGGTGTCTCACAAGGCTGCGTGCTATCACCACCGGTGTTCACGAGTTTGACGTCAAAGATAGCTCCGTCAGCCCAAAGTTCATGATGTGAGAAAACTGGTGATCCAATTGCGTAATTTCCGAGGAAGTCCGTATGAATAAACGTAAATACAGTCTTCGCTGTTTCAAGAATGCGGGGACATGTCCGTCTGGGTAAGTACATCGACCTCACAGAAGACCGGCGTGAAGTGGATGTGTTATACTTCTGCGTTTTGTCTGGCGAGTGAGGTAGCCGAAGCCCACTTTAATAAAAGGTGGCAATGCATTTGCAATCCTACGATGTGTGTGACGATTATCACTTCGCATTAGGTGAACTACCAGCTCGCTTGCCATCTTCTTACACAAAAAAAGTGATCTTGGAATTAAGTACTGTATACCAAACACAATCAAAGACTCGCTACATCGAAACTGATCGGCAAGGCTCCCTTACTCTTTTGAGTTGCCAATAAATTATACGTGATCGGGTGGTGGAAGGGCCGAGTTTTGGGGTGCGCACGGCAGCACATACCGCCACGTTGCTGAATATCGTGCCGATGAGTAGGAAGAGGGCGCGCAGATCGCCTCCGGGCAGTGAGGGGGACGCGTGCATCCAAGCGCTGGCCGTCACGAAGACCGCTAGCACGGACCACAGCGGCCGTAACGCCTCAGCCGTCGACCGCATTCTGCCCGTGCGAAGTTTGTACGATCTGCAAACGAACGGCCCCGCATAAGGTACACCACAATGATCGAGTCGATTTTCTTCTATGGTATACGGGGAGGCTTTTCCTAGTGTATCCATTTTTTTTTTATAAAATTCGAGACATAAATAATGTAATGTGAAAAATTATAAATATTTAAAATCATTCGTAATTAATTAAAATACATTCATTTGAATTTATCTCAAAAAGTGCGTGATTTATAGGCAACTCATTTATTTTACGCGCGATCATTCGTAGCTAACACGCACACAAGTTCGTTTCAAAAGTATACGACGCATTTATGAATGACTACCGCATTGTCGACAAGTTCTGTTTTTTAGGGAATAGAATGGCAATTTTTTTTTGAAAAAAAAAAAAAAACTTTGTTTTTATTTTAATAAACGATTATACTACCGAGTCTGAACCTTCTGTGTGAATTTGGGCGCCTTGTATAAACGTTGGGTTGTGGATGCGGCTCGCAACTTTAAAACGTTGCCATATCCTATCTCAACAGCACGGCGGAACGCTGAAGAATAGACAATTCTACTTTACGTCGGTGTTCTTTGTTGCCGTGGCACTTTCCTGGGAGAGCCAACGCATTCATGCAAGCGAAGATTCAACCACGCTCGTTTGTCGTCGGCGATTCAATTGATATTGCAAATAAAAGAGAAAAAAAAAACCTTAAGAACTTAAGTCATTACCACATGGCCACATGACAAAACACAATTGTGGGGTTGGTAGATATGTTACCAATTTCCGAATCAGTTTACCTTGGTTATCTCACTCAACAGACGTAAAACGTCTAATACTTTCTTAACGCGGGTGTTATAAGGCCGAGTGACTTTTTTATGTGAAAAGTTGCCTAGCGAGCAGGTGGTTCACCTGATGTTAAGTGAATACCACCGCCCATGGACATCTGCTACACCCGAGGGTTTGCAGATGCGTTGACAACCTTTTGAAAATTGGACTCCGGCTACCTCTCTCACCAGACAAAACGCGAAAGTATTATACTTCCACTTTACGCCGGTCTTCTGTGAGGTCGCGGTACTTACCCGGACGAGCCTGCCCATTCGAGCAACAGTGGAGGCTGCAGCGTGGCCCTCTGGAAGGTTAACAACATGCCGACAACGTTTCTGACGTTGTCAGTGACTATGAGCGGCTGTTCTTACAAATCACTAACGAAAAACAGCGACTTCAAATATCTCGCTCTGTACTCATTATATAATTGATTTTCACGAGTTCCCGTGAAAAACATTAATGAAATTGATGATTACAATTTTAAGTTCCAACTTATTACGTACTCAGCGGTGAAGGAAAACATCGTGACAAAACCTAAATATTGTCGAAATAATAACAAGAAAAGAGTCAAAGACACGTGAAGTTTGGAAATCTACGATGGGGTCGCATGCAGAACGTAATACCACCCTCTGTACCGATGAATCCCAGCGGTGGGACATATATCGCCTGTTACTTCTTTACCGTTTTTGTCTCAACCCCTAGACGTTAACTCACTTGTATGTGTTGTACAACGCCACCGGCAGGTTTGTGAATATCCCCGTCCCGTAGATGAGCCACTCGAACCCGTTGGCGAGGGTGTACCCGCCGAACAGGTACCGCTTGAAGTACCCTGTGCCGTGGATACCGGTCCACACGAATAGCGCAGTGGAGGCCTGCGTTGAGGACCATAATTGGTTTCTGGATCAAGATCATATTGACCATGACGAAAGCTGCCCAGTGCCCCTTTCTTCCTTCGCATTAACAACATGGGCTGTATACATCATTATACATAGAGTGGGCGGGTCCGTCTGGGAAAGTACCACGACCTCACAGAAGACCGGCGTGAAGTGGAACTGTTATACTTCTGCGTATCGTCCGGTGAGTGAGGTAGCCGGGGCCCACTTTATTAAAAGGTGGCAACGCACCTGCAACCCATCGTCATCAATTGCTCGCCTGCCACCTTCTCACAATCTCAGAAATCTGCCCAGAGTCCCTTTCTTTCATTACAAGGCCCCGCATGTACATGTAGCTGTTTTCCTCAAAATGAGAAAAAAGTGTCGCTTTAATTCAACTGACATTATTGCTTTTAGCCCATAGCTAGTAGCTTCATCGAACGTAAAGGTCCAAACCAGTGCCTCGCATATGACCGGCGTGAAGTGGAAGTATTATACTTTCGCGTTTCGGCTGATGAGCGTGGGAACGTTATTGACGAATTAGGGATGTCGAAAAAATATCGATATATCGAAATTTTCGATTTTATATATCGATATTTTTATCGATACAAAATATTCAATATCGAAATCGTATCAAAAACCGATATTTTTCCCAACTCGAATTCGGCAGAGTCCGTAGGTATCAAATATTTAATACTTGACATACCTTTATTTTTGGACAACAGGGCTTAAAGAGAAAATATCGATATTGATATTTTTATAAATATCAATATATTTCCTAACTTTCGACATTCTTATAACGAATCTGAAACTTCACAGGTGTTGTAGAAGGACCACGGGCGGTGGTAATCACTTAACTTCAGGTGAACCACCTGTTCGTTTGTCAACTTTTCACAGTAAAAAACCGACCAAGTGCGAGTAGGACTCGCGCACGAAGTGTTCCGTACTATTTATTTTATTATCTTTATAGATAACTAGCTGTCCCGGCAAACGTTGTTCTGCCATATAAATTATTTCTAGGGAATTTGTAGGGTAGAAAAAACTGTTTAGGGTGGACCACCCTTAACATTTAGGGGGATTAAAAATAGATGTTGTCCGATTCTCCACCCTGGCCGACATGCACACAAAATGGGAATCGAAACGAAAATCGGTCGAGCCGTTTCATAGGAGTTCCATTACAAACACCGTGACACGAGAATTTTATATATTAGAAGATAGATAGATGGGACGGAACAAAAAAATTTACTGTCTTACTATAACGATTCAAGAGATACAGACTGGCGACAGAAGGACAGACAGACAGCGGAGTCTTAGTAATAGGGTCCCTTTTTAACCTGACAAGAGTACACTTTTTATTTGTGGCACAGTATTTTGCAATCTTATATAGTATTTTGCACTCACCCACATACTGAAGTCATACCCCCAGGGCAGGAAAAGCACACCCGTGTTGTATTTCTCCCAATGGCTGAGGTAGAAGTTGAACAGCAGGTTCCACATCACGTAGTATATCCTGAGGGCGGAAGGGCCAATAGGCAAATATAGGGCCGGATTTAGGGGAGGGCAACCGGGGCTACAGCCGGGCGTCCACAAAGGTGGGGCCCCCACAATAGAGACACAATAGAAATTATATTTATATGTTCGTTAAATAATAAAACAATCTATACTTGGTTTCACAATAAACTATTGTTCACAAAAAATTATTGGAATACTCGACTGAAAAAATTGTTCGTTTTATTTGGAAAATAATTTTGGGCCAAGGGGCCTCCCTCCACTGCCTTGTTGCCCCGAGGCCTCCAGACCTCTAAATCCGGCCCTGGCCAAATACGTTAAAGTTTAAAAGTTCACTCGATTTGGGTGACAAGTCCGCTGATAATTTGTTAAAAAAATTTTATAAATGGTGTAACTCTTTTAGCAGTGTTAATGTCGTGTGAACGGTTTAATTCAATTCTTACAAACGTAATCGTCCTTAAATTAATTTTGCAATTCCTTTGTTAAAAAATCGTCACATCAAAATCTAACTTCAGCAATTTTATTAAATTATCACCTAGTTCATAGTACTGTTATCTGTACAATATTTATATTCTTATTCATTATACATTTTTTACAATCTTATCTCCAGGATGTTTATTAAAATTAATATTGACCGACTGATCTTCGACTTGTCACACTAAGATTTGTTTTATCAGGCGCTTATCGTTGCTTTGGTTTGTGCTGAATGATATGCGAAATATTGAAGAGAATAATATTTCATTTAATATTGTAAAAAGCTTTTAAATTTTAAAAGTGTAACGTTAATTTTCTTTGCAGCCGCACTTTTCAAATGACTGTTCACAGATCGCGATCATTCAAGGTCATTGACGTTCCTGTTCTTATTTGAAACGCATTATATGAGCGCAGTGATCGACGGATCTATGTCAAGGCGCCATTTCCAGTTATAGTAGTAAAACGTGCAATAACGTTACCGCGGATAGATAAAAGATACCGCGAAAAGGCAAAAGAAAGGCACTTTTATTTAAAAACAAAGATAACCTAGTAATATAATAAACCTAATAATGAGCCGTGATAGCTCAGTGTCCGGGCGCTCGCCTTTAATTCAATTTACTCGAGCAACCTGAGTTCGATCCCCAGTGCCAGCACCAATGAAATTGTTAATTTTAAGTGCTGACTTATCTTTGGGGATTGAAAGCGATAAAATACGTAAGGCAATTTTATTCAAAATAAATCAACTATGTACGTGATATTATATTTTACAAATGTCATTATATAAATGCCATAGCTACACGCCGAGACACCAGTATGCTTTTTTTCATTTACTGGCATTGAAAAAAATTTGGGTGAAGTCCTTCCATTGTCATTGTATAAAATTAATTTATGTAGCGATTAATTTCAATTTAATTAATTATTCTTCTGGCAATTCCATAAATTTAGCGTTGAATTATTACCGGAAAGTATTCGAAACGTCGGAAATCGAAAACGAAAAAATAGTAAAAAACGAAACGAGTTTTGTTTTAAAAACTGGCTAGCACTTGATCTCACCTGATGGCAAGTGGCGATGCAGACGTTAAATTAAAAAGTATAATGGTTAGCGTAAATTTACCACAGCAATTAAGTATTTTACCCTTGAATGTTGAGACAAGATAACGTTCGCTATCTAATGAAGTTAGATAGTGTTAAAACAACGCTTCAAATATAAAAGTTTAAGAATACAGTTGAGAGAGATGGTTTTATTTATATTTCGCCGGCAGCGTGACAGCAGCGGATAATCTTTATTTTTTTTATGTTTAAAGGCATTATGCAAGCGAGTTGGCGATTCACCTGATGTTAAGCGATAAGCCGCCCATACATTTGCAAAACCCATAGGGTCGCACAGGCGTTGCCACCATTCATTAAAGTGGGCCCCGGCTACCTCACTCACCAGACGAAACGCTGAAGTACAACACTTCCACATCACGCCGGTCTTCTGTGAGGCCGTGGTTCTTACCCTGCCACATTCATATACACGGGACTGCCCATTCGTGCAAGAGAGAAGAGTACCACTAGTAGTCCACTTGAAAAAGCCTGGAGCGATCAGATCATAATCAAATAAGCAGGCGGTTCACATGATGTTAATTGATTACAACCGATAAGCACGTCTACAACACGAGTTGCCTATTGGGGTTACTGAACCGAACTCGCCTCAGAAAAAAGACCCTAATGCGTAGAAAACGAACCTGTCTTTACCGACATAGTGTGTTGGCTCGTTTTGTACTGAAAAAATATTGTGTGACGACCGTCGAGATTCTTGGATCTGGGGCGTTTATTTAAGTAAAAAATGAATGAATGAATAATGACACCTTGCCAAGTGCGCCACGATAGTGTTGTGTAAACGATATTTGATGAATATATACTACGTAGAATTACCCATCCGTAAGAATCTACACAATAGACCAATACACAATAGATCTGTATAAATATATATACAGGCCTTTTCATCTGTGTCACATGTTTTAAGCAGCATTCACGGTGACGAAACCTGCGTTCATGGCTGTACAGGCCTATGCGCCGTAGATCTGTTTAAGGTCTTATAAAAGGCCATAACATGCGATCTCTAGAACTTCTCTACTTCACTAGAAAGACTCCTGAGTTCTGACGATTTAGCCTCAAGCAGTGCAAGCTCACCTGATTGGCGGTATTGAAAAGTCGAGGCGTCCGAAGATGGAGTAGAGGCAGGCCGGTATGAAGAAAACTGAGTAGGAGTCGAGCCCGTGGTCGAAGAGCTCGCCCAGCGGACCAGAAGTCTGGGTTCGGCGGGCCTGCTTGCCGTCTATTCCATCTGCAAGAGTGGAATGCCATCACGACTCCAACGGTTACAGGGTAAAGTAAAGTAACACCCTATATACGGGATGACTTTTTAGACGAAGTACATACTTTGGACATAATGTTAATTGAGCATTCCATAATTAAAAAAAAATATTAATATTTCATTTTGGGACCCTGCTTCGTGGCAGTCTGTGGGGGAGGCCTATGTTCAGCAGTGGACTTTTATCTCTTCTGACGATAGTCGGCGATGTAACCGAAGATGGTAAACGGACTAAGCCTCATCGAAATATTCGCTCGCCTCAAAGGCCCCCATATTCATTTTATGTCAATCGCTACGAATACGGAGACAATTTATCTAACCAGGCTTCCTGCCAACCATAGGGATAATTGCGGACAAAGTTTTCATAATATCCACCAGTCTTACGGAAACTTTTTTAAGCAGTATAAAGAAGACACTGGTACGGACTCGACCCATTATCCAATGTTGGAGTGTTTTCATTTGAAAAATCAGTTCTAATGTACCACTTTTGCAACGGACCTTAAAAACAGCGTCTTGTAGTAAAATACGATACCCAAATGAGCAGTAAATAGATAGTGTATAATACAATTAGTCAGTTTCGAGCTATGTTTAGATTCAAGTCTCTTGGTCACCATAGAGCCGTGATAGCTCAGTGTCCGGGTGCTCGCCTTTAACTCAATATACTCGAGCAACCTGAGTTCGATCCCCGGTGCTGGCACCAATGAAATTGTTAATTTTAAGTGCTGAATTATCGTGCTCAGCTGTGAAGATAAACATCGTGAGGACCTGCATATTTTCGAAATAACAAAAAATATTTCGAAGATATGGTGAAATCCGCCAATCCGCAGTGGGTCGCGTGGTGATATACACTGATACCCTGTACATAGGTCATTTCCCAGCAGTGGGACATATATAGGCTGATAATAATATCATATTTATACTTTAGACAGACAGTAAACGATAACGTAGTTAAAGAGCACTAAAGAATCTCGGCTTCGGCTTGGCACAGACGATTGCATAATGGCCCCAGTAAATTGGTTCAAAGTGCATACAACGTTATCCGTAGGCACACGGGGCTTAATGTAGTAACCGCGTCTGTGCGGCTGATGCGAGGCTTCTTTGTGGTATTATTGCTTGAAAATTTTTTTATATAGGTATAACACACGTACTTGTCCCTGTGAGAATCGAACCCACGATCCCCGACGCCGAAATCAATAGCCTAACAACTGCGCCATCTAGTCATCGGATCGCCATGTAGTGGACGAAATACTTCTACCTTAGTCAGGCTTGTAAGCCATGGCTACTTCCTCATTGCATTTGTGCTGACTGGCTACTGGTTGATTTAGATTCTCTCGGACATTATAGATTCGAATCCCAGTTTTATTCCTAACCGAGTATGACAAAGTTTTCTAATAACCTGACAGTGCTTTGTCCTCGTAGTTTTGATAAAATGTAATTGATTTTAAAGTTTTCTTTTATAGTGCTAATCTCTGCACTTAAGATTGAACATTAAAACATGTAGAAAAGTACGAAAGGATTGTCGCCGCTGTGGGAATCGAACCAACGTCTTCGGCATTCGCGGCCTGACGCTCTAGCCACTATGGCGACAATCTTTTCGTACTTTTTCAACATGTTTTAAAATGTAATTGAATTTAAATCAATTTATAATTTAAATTTTAGCACGAAAGACACCGGTACGCGACGTAGATTAATACATAGATACGGAATACTTCGCAGCTTGCATGATTTGTTACTAACGCTAATACCAGTAATAAAGATAACCCCTGACGACCTTCAAACAAACCTAGTGAGATGGTCAGTTATCGAGATAATGAATATAAATAAGCCACGTATTAGCAATAGATAAAATACATAATGACACTGATTTTAAGAACTATGAACGATATATTAATACAGATAAATTCTAGGGAGTTTTTATGGTAAAAACATTAAATAGGGAGATCTTGTGGTATGCAATATCTATTAAGTCATGTAGATTAGCTAGCTTAGAGCTGAGAAGGACCGTTAACTTAAAGCTGCCAGGGTCCGATTACAGGGTGGCAACGCATGTGCAACCCTAACGGTGTTGGAAATGTCAATGAAGTTAACATAACACCGCCAGCCCGCTTCACCTTCTCACATAAAAGAAGAACACAAAATATGACCACTACTACGAAACTCACCCAGAGTGTACGCGAGGAAGAGGAACGCCGCCAGCACGTACCATAGCCGCTGCGGTATCACCTCCGGGCGGCTTTCAAGCGGTTGCTCGGCAATGGTGACATTCATGACGGAGGCGCTGGCCGCCGTGTAGTCGTAGTCGTAGTAGGAGAGCAGCGCGAAGTCGAGTACGGTCAGCAGGAAACCGGCGAAGGTCAGCACGTTGGGCGCCACCCAACGGGGCACCAGCTGGGGGAAGGGGGAGTCTTAGAACTGGAAGTAGTCTGGAGCCCATCGAATGTTCCCGATTGTTTTGTCTCGCATCGTGGTAGGGCGACGTGGCGACTGCTATTGCACTAGTGGGCAGGCTCGTCCGGTAAAGTGCCACGCCCTCATAGACGACCGGCGTGTACTGAAGAAATTATTACTGTCACCCATTTTTTAAGGTTGGCAACCCTGGGCAATTGCAATTGACAATCTGCAATCTCCTCAGGTGTTGTAGATGTCCATGAGTGGTTATCATTTATCATCAGGAGACGACTCGCTTGTTGACTTTTCACATGAAAAAATAATATAATAGAGACAAACGGACAAGCAGTGAGGAGTAGAAGCATTAATACTTATGGATTTCATCTTTGGAGTAAAGTATGAAACGAATCTGCAACATCAGTCTTTCTAGCTGCACATGGGTGGCAGTGGTAAGTAGTATTACGTAAAAGTTGCGGAAACCAAAGAAAACACCACATGTTTGCTAATGTTTTTAAAATTTACGATAGTGGAAAACCGATAGTAGAGCTAACTTTATGTCAGTAATCGAAAGCGTTTAGTTTTCAAGGAAAAAAGAAAACAAAACTCGTATTGACATTAAGGAAATCCATCATTTTATTGGCTTCGATACGAAAATAAACATGATATTTATGTACCGATAGCATATTAATGACCAGAAGCCTCTATTAAACTTTCAAAATTGTTAGGTTATTCAAATATTTTAATTTGGCATTTGAATGTTTTTATTGTTTTAATTTGGTCCCACATTTGTTTACTTTAAACTGATACTCACTTTTAACACTTAAAGGAGTGTATCTCTCACATACAGTTCATACATATAGTTCGATTAACCGAATCAAGAAGTTGAGTGGAAAGCGATACTACTTTTGAGTTAATTTAATTATGGAAAAGTTGTCGATATTCTAAAACTTTAATATAATTGAAGTAAATATCAGAATTTTTTAATAATGCCTTGCTAACGTTTTCAAGCGTTGATTCAATTAGGACAATCTGCAATCTCCTCAGGTGTTGTAGATGTCCATGAGTGGTTATCATTTATCATCAGGAGACGACTCGCTTGTTGACTTTTCACATGAAAAAATAATATAATAGAGACAAACGGACAAGCAGTGAGGAGTAGAAGCATTAATACTTATGGATTTCATCTTTGGAGTAAAGTATGAAACGAATCTGCAATATCAGAGTCTTTCTAGCTGCACATGGGTGGCAGTGGTAGGTAGTATTACGTAAAAGTTGCAGGGAACCAAAGAAAACACCACATTTTTGCTAATATTTTTGAAATTTACAATAGTGGACAACCTATGGAAGAGCTAACTTTATGTCAGTAATCGGAAGCGTTTAGTTTCCAAGGAAAAACGAAAATAAAACTCGTAATTGACATTAAGGAAATCCACCATTTTATTGGCTTCGATACAAAAATAAACATGATATTTATGTACCGATAGCATTTTAATAACCAGAAGCCTCTATTAAACTTTCAAAATTGTTAGGTTATTCAAATATTTTAATTTGGCATTTGAATGTTTTTATTGTTTTAATTTGGTCCCACATTTGTTTACTTTAAAACTGATACTCACTTTTAACACTTAAAGGAGTGTATCTCTCACATACAGTTCATACATATAGTTCGATTAACCGAATCAAGAAGTTGAGTGGAAAGCGATACTACTTTTGAGTTAATTTAATTATGGAAAAGTTGTCGATATTCTAAAACTTTAATATAATTGAAGTAAATATCAGAATTTTTTAATAATGCCTTGCTAACGTTTTCAAGCGTTGATTCAATTAGGAATAATATTTTTCCATTATATTGTATATGTATTTGTAGCTAAAAATAATTATCGTATAGCTAATATAACATTGGCCGTTTAGCTCAGTGGCTAGAGTGTTAAGAAAATAAAAGAAAGGCCGGAAGAACGCAGAGTGAAATACTCGAAGAAGCGAAAGACTTTTGGTCCAATTATCTAAAAAAAATATTATAATAATAGAAATAGCACTCTAAAAATAAATACCCTTTAAAATAATCGGTTGTAATTAGTCGTTGTTAAACAAACAAAGTATTACAATTAGGAACTGTGCGTTGAAAAACAGAATATATATACTCTGAATACGCCGAAAGATTTCATTCATTTAAATTCACATTACCAAATTCTTTCACTCACCGGAGTACAGAGATAATCGCTAAAAATAAAGTTAATAATTTCTTTATGATTCATTTATTACATACTCAATAAATATTTCTACGTGTGTGAGTTATAAAGTTTATCGTACGTTCGTTTCTTAATGCACCATGATGGCGTGATGTGGATGTTTTTGTATCACCGTACTTCAAAATTTTCCATCGCAAACAGCTCCGTCTCTGAGAAAAATAGCAAAGTTTCGTTGCAAGTTGAGAATTGTATAAGCGATAAAGCTGCGAGATACGTTTACGATTATTCCGCTGATAATCTATATAAATTAAAGTGAATGTTGGTAAGCGCATAACTCGAGAATGGCTGGATCAATTCGACTAATTTACTTTTTTGCCTGTGTTAACGCCGGTAGTTGGATGTCGAAAAAATACGTCACAGCCCAAAGTCCATCACACCACCTCGACTACGTCTTGTACGCCATCTTAGCTTTCGGCCATTCTCTGTAAGCTACCACCGCTGTAACACCTACCTTTAAGTTGTAAATTATACGCTACATGCAATTTCGCTATTTATTTTCAAATCCTTAAACTTCAACTGGGGAATCCATCACGCAAGGGCCCTCACATTGATCCTTCGTAGCCAAATTTGAATACAGCGAGCTTAGAAGATTTATAATTAACGCGCATTTAAAGTCAGACTGGAAATAACCACGTGGCGAGGACACATTGAAGATTTATTGAAGCCTGAAGCCTATAGTCGGAGTTGCTACCATATTTCAAGCTTGGGACAAGGGAAGGTGCTGGGCCAAATTGATATAAAGCGCAAGTGTGATTTGGTTCATGCGAGTTACCCGTTTGATTGTAATCAGCTGAGTAAGAATACCGTTGCTAGTAATTACCAGCCCACGCGTATACATTTCAAACGTAAGTACTAAACCTTTCTTTGGTTACTAAAATGGGGTTATCCGATAATTTAGAAAGCGCAGGTAGATCACGCGATAAATCTCCATACAAAGATGATGCCAATTCTTCTATCATTCGCGATTGCATAAGAAAACGTGGCATCATAAAAGGTAGGCTAACTAAGTTCTCAAATTATTTGAATTCTTTTAGTTGCGAGGACGACTTAGTTGGTCAACAACGAGTCGACTTAAAGTTGCGTATACAAGGCACAACAAATTTATTTTCCGAATTTAATATTATTCAAACAAAACTAGAAGAGTGTGTACCTGATTCTGATTTAGATGAACAGTTAACGCAAAGAGAATTGTTCGAGGATTTTTACTATAGCATGTTAGCGAAGGCAGAATGTTTATATAGTAAGAGTGAAGTCGTTAGTCATACTTGCGATTCGAAACAAGCAAACGCTTCAATTAAATTGCCTACGATAACTATGCCCACCTTCGACGGTTCTTATGAGCACTGGCTTGAGTTCCGTGACACCTTTGTATCATTAGTTCACAGTTCTAAAGAATTAAGTAGTATACAGAAATACCATTATTTAATATCGTCGTTAAAAGGGAGCGCATCATTAGTTATAAACTCATTACAATTATGTAGTCAAAACTATGAAGTAGCTTGGGATCTGTTATTAAACCGGTACAATAACAACAGATTACTTATTCAAAATTACGTCAAATCATTGTTTACGATGCAACCGTTGAGTAAGGAATCGCCTATGATATTAAGAATGTTAATAGACAACGTTCTTAAAAATTTACGTGCACTCAAAACGCTCGGTGAGCCAACAGAACACTGGGATACGCTAGTAATATATATAATCACATCTAAACTAGACCAAACCACCGAGCGTGAATGGGAGCAACACAAAAGCACATTACATTCAAGCACTAACGACTATAAGCTAAAACTAGAAGACGTCCTTAAATTCTTGAAGGACAGAGCTGACATGTTGGAAGCATTGCAAGTAACGCACAGTAAACAACACAGCAATAAATTCAAAGCACCTATTAATAATAACATTCACTGTCATGCTTCCAGCACTACGCCGCAATTCCGAAATAATAAGGACGCTAAGAAGTTATGTGTGGTATGTAACTTAAATCATCCGTTATACTCATGTCAAAAATTTCTCGACTTGAATTTAGAATCAAGGTTATTACTTGTTAAAAACAATAAATTATGTCTCAACTGCTTGCGCCCAGGGCATGCCGTCGACTATTGTCGCTTCGGCCCGTGCCGTTTATGTAATAAAAAACATAATACGCTCATACACAACGGAAGCGAACCCAATCAACCCATCTCGCTTCAAACAATGCAGCCCGCCGCATCACTCGCAACTGTTTCGGACGCACGCACTAATAATGAACCCATTGCACCTATTCAGGTAAACAACGCGCAAATGAAACATCAATACGCGCAACCGGTTTTGTTATCCTTTGCGCTCATAAAAATAGCAGATTCAAGTAATAATTATCACTTAGCGTATTCCCTGCTCGATAGCGGAAGTCAGCGATCTTTTATTACAAAATCTTTATGCGATAAGCTAAATTTACCACTATTACAGTCCACTCATGAAATAAAAGGTGTTGGAAATTCGTTTACACATACTACGAATGTATGTGAAGTCGAAATAAAATCGCGCATCCACTCTTACACTACACGGTTACAATGTTTCGTTCTATCAAGTATTACGTCAACAATGCCAGCGTTGTCGGAACAAAGCGCACGGGTTATTATACCGAACGACATTCAGCTGGCCGATCCGCAATTTTATAAGTCCCATAATATAGATATATTATTAGGCGCAGACATCTTTTGGGATTTATTGAGAACGGATAGGATAAGGTTATCAAGCGGTCCTATTCTT